AATTCCAGAGAGCAAAGGGTGCAGGGTTCAGGACAGGTATCCAGCACCCAGAGAGGGGACAGCACCCTCTTCCTGCCCTGATCCTTGGGGCCTCCTCCCGACCAAGGGATCCAGATGAATTCAGAGAATAGGAGAGCAGAGGTGGATGTGACTGCCTTTGATAAGGTGGGCTGGGATTAGTCAACTACAGACGCTGAGGGGCAGAGGGCCGGCACCAAGGTTCCTCCTGTCCATCAGAGACACTCAAGTCCTGCTTCAAACAGAAGCCACTGCTGATGGCAGTTGAAGGCCTTCTTCACCAACCTGCCTGAGATCCCACCACCACAGTCATGAAAGTCAGTCTCAGTGGTTAAGTTGAAGTCTAATCTTAATGAGATTAACCTGAGAGATGGGAATGGAACCAAGATGATTTAGCGGGAAGGCAGGGACATTCTAGAAGGCTGGATATGACCTTTAAGTGTCAAGGACAGATGGGTAGCTGTCTCCATAGAAAGCTCCATGGAATGGGACAAGCAGACTTGGCTTCCTTTATAATTTCGCTGACTCCAGCCCAAGTCATGAGGACCAGGTCCTGTGCTCCACACCCTTGCTAAGAGCTCTTCAGTGGTCCACGACTCACTACCCACTGATAGTCCAGACTCTACACCTTGGCCAACAAGATACCATGGCTGGAGCCTGCCGCCTCCTCAGGCCCTCCCTTGGGTCCCTTCTTGTTCCAACTGCACTCAACCCTCCACTCAGCCTTGTGACTCCAGGCCTTTGTACCTGCGGTACCCAAGGCGGCCACGCTCTGTGTCCTCTGCCTCACCCAGTTTCCCTGATTATCCCACAGGCTCAACCTCAGCATCACTTGGTCAGAGGCATCTTGCCTGAGCATCCACTGTCATCTCCACTGGAAACATAAGAAGGTCTGGAGGCAGTTCCTTGGGTGTCCAGAGCCCTCGCTCTGGGTGGGGCTTGCTTATTTGAGTACATCTCTCCTGAGGACTGTGTTCTGCCAGTCGCCATATCTCTGAGGTCTAACACTGGCTCAGTGAAAGCAACCACTTGGTTAAAGTTGGGTGAAAATTTTTAAATATTTTATTATTTTTATTTTATGTATATGAGTGTATTGCCTGTATGTATGGAAGTGCACCCATGCCGTGCAGTGCCCAAGGAGGTAAGAAGGCATTGGATTCCCATGAAACTAGAGTTATGGATGGCTGTTAGCTGCCATATTGGATTCCCATGAAACTAGAGTTACGGATGACTGTTAGCTGCCATGTGGGTGCTGGGACTCGAACCCAGGTCCTTTGCAAGATCAGTCAGTGCTCCTAACTGCTGAGTCACCTCTCCAGTCCCAATAAAAACTATTTTTAACTTAACAAGGATGGACAGCTTATGCTGTACAAAGTGGCACCACCCATTCTGCCTGCCCTCAGGGGACTTCCTTTCAAAACCATGAAAGGATGCTCAGCTTCCCTAAACACTAGGTCAATGTGAGTGAACGCCACAATGAAATGTGATTTTTAAACAACGGAGAAGAAAGGGGCGAGAGAGAAAAGGGGAAGGAGGAGGAGGAAGAGAGGAGGAAGAGGAGGGAAGAAGAGGGTGCCTGTGGGGCATTTCCTCAACTGCAATTTGATGTAGGAGGGCCTAGTCCACTGTGGGAAGTGTCATCCTTAGGTAGGTGGGCCTGGCTTGTATAAATAAGGTAGCTTAGCAAGCCAGGGGGAGCAAGTCAGTAAACTCCATGGTCTCTGCTTCAGTTCTTGCCTCCAGTTCCTGCCCTGACTTTCCTCATTGATGGACTGTGACCTGGGACTGTAAGAAGAAATAAACCCTTTCCTCCTCATGCCGCTTTTGCTCAGTGTTTTATCACAGCAACAGAAAGCAAGCTAGAACAATTTCCATTGCTGACTTAAATAAATAAGAAACCCCTAGGGATTTAGTGAAGCATATCTCTAGGGGTGTCTGCCCTGGCCTTTCCAGACAGGATCAGCAGAGGGACGAAGACCCACCATACAAGTGGCTGGAGTTCCAGACTGGATAAAAGCAGAAAAGAAGAAAGAGAGTCGAGCACCAGCACTCTCCATCTTTAACTCCTAATCCACCTGAATGTGAGCAAGCAACCTTAGGCTCCTACTGCCGCAGCTGTGAGGGACCCTTCAGCTACCATGGTTTCTCCTCCATCACAGACTGTGCACCCTCAAACCATGAGGTACAAATAATAAGCTCTTCTCTCAAGTTGCTTCTTGTCAGTATTTGGTTGCAACAAAAAGAAAAGTAACTGATACAATCCCAATCATCATTATTTTAATTTATCTTTATTCATGTGTATGGTGTGTTTGTGTGAGTTTATATATCCCATGTGTGTGAAGAAGCCCACAGAGGCCAGAAAGAGTGTGTCAGATCCCTTGGAGCAGGAGTTATAGACAGTTGTGGATGCAGGGAACTGAACCTGACTCCTCTCTAAAAGCAGTAAGCACTCTCAATCACAAAGCCATCTCTTCAACCCATAATCATCATTTAATGCTGTGTATAAGGACCCTGAGAGGCTGAGTTCGAATCCAGGCTCTCCTTCTGCCTAGCTGTACAGTCCTGGCCTCGGTCATGAAATAACACTAATTCCCTGAGTGGAAGGCTTTGTCTTAAAAGACCATCTCGGGCTGCAGTTCTACAACCTTGCACATTGCTTTTGAGACAGGGTCTCATGGAGCCCAAGCTGGCCTTGAACTCTCTATGCAATCATGGATGACCCTGAACTTCGGATCCTCCCCACCTCTATCCCCCTCATGCTGGGATCATAGGCTTCTTGTGCCACAATGCCCAGATACTGTTCTGCGCTGCAAGTGTGTGCCTGTGCGGTACAGACTTGTGATATTTCTGTTTCAGGAATACAAACTATCCAGCAAGTGCCCAGGAAGAGAGACTTCTCTAGGAAGCAGTCAGAGCATGTGAAGATACCACGTCAGGCACAAGGGGGACTTCGCCAGGACCCATTTTACACCCGACAAGAATCCCCTCTACTGCCGTCTAGCGTCTAATGACACCATTGACCTTTCCCAGCTGTCAGACTTGTCTTACTGGATCCTGAGGTCTTAACCACTCTGAGTGCAGAGGCTGCTGGCTTGCCCACCAGCACACGTGCTCATGTATAATTCATGGCCGATCACGTTGCCTGACACATGAATATTTATCAGCTTTCTCATAAGAGGCAGAGTGGTGCTGCCTTTCTTTGCTACCAAAATTCTATGCTCCTGCAAATGAAATTTGTGAGCAAATAAAAAAAGAATAAGAAACAGCAAAAACTCCCATCCAAGTCCATTCCACTTGTAATTTTCCATTCTCCAGGGCCTCGAGTGTGTACGGAGGTGGCTTCGGCTCAGCTACAACAGAATCCTGCTGACTCGTCCAGAATAGAAACCCTGCCATATGCTGCACCCTTCGCCCCTGCAGGAAACTCCCCCACACCGTACACCTGCCCCAATTCCAACTGCACAGGAGCCCCAGACCCTCCAATGGTTCCACTGTGGACCCTCTGCACAGTAATCAAATTTGCATGGACCGAAGAGAAAGGACACACACACCCAGATCATTGGTACAGGGCCAAGCCTAACAGCACAGTTTCTAAAGTGAGCTGCCGGTTGGAGAGGGGACGGAGGGGAGAATCATACAGGAGAGGTCACCCGTTGGCTGGAGGCACCCTGTGTCCTGGTAGGGGACCTAAGACCAGTGACTCTGTTTACCACTCAAGTCCCATGGCTCACTGGGGATGGCATTGCTAATGAGCCTGGGCATGTGTGAGCCCAGTGTGGCTGCAAATAAAAATGTATGTGGCTCAACTGGCTTCACCCTAACCCTGAAAGATGCTGCTGTTTTTGATGGACAAGTTAACATGTATGCACCCGCTTCTGTGTGCCAGGGCATGTATAGAGCCGGGTCATGGGCACAGTCTATTAACTATTTTAGAATATGTCATCTCAGAACATCTGATGGAGGAAGCCGCTAATGCTTTTCATACTTTAAAGATGAAGATACCAAGGCAGGAAGATAAAGTCACTTGCTGAAGTTCACGCTGCCCAAGTGATCCTGAGACCTGTGTCCTTTCAGGGATCCTCCACTGGACATTAGAGGCAGGAGCTTAAGAAGCGAAATGCCTGGCTGTATGACCTTGTGACAGTCACTTCATTTGTAAGAGAGTTGGAACAGCTCTTGCTTCCCAGGGCTGCCATGCACAAATGCTACCTGGCCAAACAGTTTTGCATATTCTAACCTTTCTCTACCCATTGACAAGCCCACGGCCCTTCTTCCAGAACCTTCCATTGTGGAGAGGTTGGCTGAGGAGTAAAGAGGTTCTAGAGCAGAGGTGGAGGAAGGAGACGCAGGGTAAGACACAGATGTGCATGTGTGTGTGCACACAGCCCTTCAGTGGGATTACTGAGCCCTTTCTAGGAAGCAGGGTTTCCTTTAAGGACTGGGGGCTGCACAGCATCAAGAGGTGAAGACGCGGTGCTGAGCATGCCTGAGCCAGGGCTGGTTAGCAAAGAGTGCGATGGACTGCGCCCTGGAAAGGAGATGGTCAGTGCAAAGGCCCCGAGGTGGCATGCCTAAGATGCAAACCCTTGTGTGAAGTGCATCTGGGACATTCTGGATCCTGGAGCCCTCTTTCCATGGACCACCTCAGGTGTGGGTGCTGAGCAGGCAGCCTTGGGAGGTGTGGGCTGCTTGTGCTGCCGCAGTCCCCGTGAGCTGGGGACTCTATCTTTTCCTGCACTTTGTCACACGGGATTTCAAAAGAACCATTCTGGGATGGGGACGGTCCCCAATAAGATTGTGAGAAAGGTGCAGTCTGGACTGCGGTGCGAGTCAAATCTCATTTTGCATTGCTCCACAGGGCTCCCTCTTAGCGTCCACCCAGTTCAGCTGCCCCTTGGAGCAATCCCATATAGAGCAAGAGCTCTGTGGACCCCATGGAAGCTTCCAGGACCACTACACTCTCTCACACCAGCTTCACCTACCTTCCTCTCATCGATTCCCTCGGAGGTGGACTTGAGTTTCTTCAGCAGTGGAGGGTCCAGCACCTGGAAGCGCCTGCGGAACTGAGCTAGCCCCATGTGCTCAGCATAACCTAGGGAGGAGGAGGGGACAAGCAGGGAAGTTACCAAACAGGAAGGCCCAATGCAGGCCCCTGACTCCCAGGGTTCCACTCTCAGCCTGGCTGCTAATATGCTGGGAACTCATTTTAACCCATCTGCTAAGTTAAGGAATCCCCTTTACCAAGGCTCAGGGACCATCATAGAAGACTAAGAGCCAAAGGTCAGGGAGGACAGGGGTGAAATAGTGTCTTCTGGACACAACAGGACTGCTGCACTCACAAACTCACAGCAGCTGTGGTTGCCTGCACAAGATCAAGCCGGTCAACATTTCAGATGGAGCGGGAGGGGTCCATGGGTACCCACCCCTAACTGAGGAGCTAGGAACAGTTGATGGTTTCTGAGGGAGGGAGAGTCAGTTTTCTTTAAAGGTATAGCCCTGGTAGATTGACCACCCTCTGATGGACGGCCCCACACCCAGGAGTGTATGGGCAGTACAAACTGGAGTCAGTGACTTATGTAAAAAGAAGACACAAAGTTGGGAGGATAGTAAGGGGGAGGAGCTAGGGGGATGAGAGCTGAGTATGATAAAATGGTTGTATGAAATTCTCAGATAATTAATAAAAACACTATATTTTTTAAAAAAGGAAAAGAAATCACCTTCAATCCCAGTACTTGGGAAGCAGAGACAGGTGAATCTCTGTATGTTCAAGGCCAGCCTGGCCTACATAGCAAGTTTCAGGCAGGCTGAGACTGCAGTGAGACCCTGTCTCAATATTGGATTTTTGTTGTTGCCATTGTTATTGTCTTAAGACAAGGTCTCACTATATTTCTCAGGCCGATCTTCGACTCATAATCCTCCTGCCTCAGCTTCCCAAGTGCTGGGATGATAGATGTAAGCCACCACCGCTAGCTAAGAGACAGGGTCTGGCTGGCAAAGGCTCCTTGGGACACAATCCTTAGATCCGGGTTCACAAGCTGCTCTGCCATTGCCTTTCCTGGGCCCTGTGCACATCGGGACCTGGGTCAAAGGCTCTGAGAAGTCCCTCAGAGCACACCTGATCCACCTTCAGTTCCCTAAACCTGCTTGCCCATGAAAACTCTTTTGTCTAGTACCCTTTTGCCTACTCCATAGATTGCATGAAAGGCCTGTCACATTGGGCAGTACACCAAGGCTTTTAGAATCCGTCACACAGGGTAGACACAGATGTATCCCTCTTGAGAAAGTGGAGGGAAGGTATGTTGAGAGCTACTGAAAGTTATACAAACTGGCCTTTGAAAGACACTGTAGAGTTTCCTTCTTGGCAAGAAGGAAAGGTTACACAGAGGGGACTGGACAGGCAAGGTCAGAACAAGGCAATGTGAGCATTCTTCCACAGTCAGAGCAACAGCCCAGCATTGCTGAATATTAACAGGAACAAGACTCAGGAATACAACTTCCAGTGCTGTAAGACACTCAGCACCTGAATGATCATCCCATTTTATCAGTGAAAACTGAGACCCAGGAGAGAAATTCACCTAGTCACATAGGATAGTAACTGTCCCAGCTGGGATTCAAACCTGGGGAGAGAAAAGTCTGAGTGAGGAGATGCCTAAAGATGAAGGACTAGGCCCTAAAGGAATGGGAACTCAAATTCTAGGCCTGAGACCTGGGCTCTCCTCTCTCCTCGGTGCAGGAGGTGTGATGGGGCTTTGGTTGCTTCTAGGCTAGTTAGACTCTTACTCCACTTTCAAGACTTCGCGAGAAGTCAAGTGCATGAATTAGGAGGAGGAGAGGGCATGGGAGCACAGAGTGTTGGGGGATACTCCGAATCCGGAGGCCTGCCTGGGGGAGGAGGAGGTCTCCGGCCAGCTGTGAGGGATGCAGACAGCATACAGACAGGAAACCCAGGAGTCCTGTGTTTTTCTCCTAGGTCAGACTCAGCTGGGTTCGCACCCCATTCCAGCCCGTATTAGCCCCATGCCTGAGTACAGACAGAGCTACTTTTCAGCACAGGGATGCTTTGAAGGATAAGCTTGTGACTTCGATGAAAGGAGCTACTCTCACTGCACTCTGCCACAGCTGGACACCCCTCTTGGGTCTGGTCCACTCTCTCCCACACATGGCCACCCCTGTAAGCTCTGAACCACGCTCTCTCACATCCAGCCACCCCTCTCAGCTCTGTCCCCTCATTAGCTCATCCAGTTCTTGTAACTCTGTGGAGCAGAGCAGAAAGGTAGGCACACTCCAGGGACTTGCGTGGGTCACACGTGGTGGCAGGCAGCTGCAGAGCCAAGCCCAGGCTGCCTCCCTCCCAGAGTCTGAGTGGTGCCCCCTGGGCTTTATGCCAGGTGAAGTTTAAGAGCGCTTGTCACAGCCAACCCCCCCCCCCCCGCAGGGATGGCTTCCCAGGCTCTTCCAGGTCTTACATCCACAGACACTCAAATCCTTCACATACAATCAAACAGCATTTTCAAAGAGAGTATATGTTCCCTTGGTCCTTGTCATCATTTCAAGACAATTTCAGCTTCATCCAGTGTAAATGCTGAACGAACAGTTATCATAGAGAATTGTTTAGAAAATAGTGACGTGAACAGGTCTGCACACGGTCAATACAGACGCAATGTATTTTTACTTTGTATCAATGCTTATTGTGTATGTGTGACGTGTGTATGAGTGCAGTTGTGCACATGCCACTGTGTCCACGTGGCAGGCGGGAAGCAACTTTTAGGAGTCAGTTCCCTCCTTCTGCCTGTTGAGGCAGGTCTCTCCTGTGGCAGGCCTGCATGCTACAGGCTAGTTGGCTGACCACTCTCTGGTCCACCTCCCATCTCCTAGTAGGCGTGCTGGGATCACAGATGCCCACCTCTGCATCTTGCTGTTCATGGGCTTGAACTTGAATCATCATACTACAGCAAGTGCTTTGATCCACTGAGCCATCTCACCAGCCTCCACATGTAATATTTTTCCAGTTGTTTTAGGTCCAAGGGGGGGTACTGCATATGGGCACTGTGCTAAGGGCTTTGTGAGAGCCGTCTGAGTGTCTGTAACAACACAGTCCCTGGCACACAGCAAACACCAATAAACAGTACACACAGGAAAGAATCATGTTGAATGTGATACATAATGTATGTGTGGATTCAAAGTCATAGATATTAATGCACCAAAGTATGTCTCATGTGGGTCTGGAAGAGATGGAGTGACTCAAAATAGAAAAAAGAACACGGAAACAGAGCAGATCTGTGGGCTGGAAAGTTCCATCAGGAGACATCAATCCGTTATTATGAGGTTGAGGAGCCGCACCTGGATGCATGGTACAGACCTTACACAGAGCAAAACTCAAGGAAGGCCACGCCCTGACTCACACACACACACACACACACACACACACACACACACACACACATACACACAAACACATACCACACACATACATACAAATATTCACACATATTCATAGACATATACAAACATATACACATACACAAATACGCACATACACACAACACACATACATATACACATATATGCACACATATATACATCATGCACATAAGCACATACACATATACACATGTGCTCATACATATATCCACACACACCACATATATACAAAATATATACACCATACATACATATACACACATACATACCCCACACACAACACACACATACATATGCACACGAAAACACATATACACACATGTATACATATGCATACATGTTCAAAAACACCATACACATAACAGACATATACACATATACCTCACATATGCACACACACATAAACGCATGCACACAAATACATACATGTGCATACACATAAACATATGCGTGCACACACACACAGTGACATCCTTAAAGCTCCTGTCATCAACCTCGAGATGGATGGGCTTGGGACCTGGCTGCCTGCTGTGACCACCCCCTCGTCCTCTGTGACATGATTCATCTTCCTCAGCCTGTGGCTGTCCAAGCAGGAGGAAAATCAACGATGCACTTGGGAAAGGGAGAGTCTCGAGCTTTGTTTCCAGCAACCCACAGCTTCTCTGTCAAACGCTGGGTGCCCAGTGCCCGGGGTTCCACTATTAATGCGGTTGGGGGTATACATTGGTGACCACAAAGACATTATAAAAATAGGCCACATGAGACCCCACCAGCCCCAGCCACCCATCCTCAGAGAGCAGTTGAGCTCAAATCATTTCTAACTACCAGGAAGGGAGCTGGCAGGATAGCCCTTGAAGGCTGAGAGGCAGGAAAGAGTGAGAGATTTCAGATCCAACCCAGCACATAAAATTAACCACCAGTGAGATCCACAGACACAGTTTACTTACCAAACCACAGAACTGAAAACTCTTTCCTTTGACCAAAACCCCAGCCTCTCTCCATCACTCACCAACTGCCCATCTGGACTTGGTGAAAGTGGCCAGTGAATGCGACCACAGCCTTCCTCACCAGCCTGAGCCTGCTCCCTAAAAGCCCAGCTCTACATGTCCCAGCCCTGACCCTTGAGGATTATTAATTCTCATCCCCATTGCCAGTTGGGATCCGATGTTACACTTCAGGACCTAATTAGGATTTTGCCTCCTCTCAGAGACTCGTCCCCCCATCTCCTGAATATAGGAAACTCCCTGGGCTCCCACAAGCCTCTTGCTCCCTGTGTGACACAAGCCTTTGCTGTGCTGTCTCGTCTCATCATTCCCTGTAGTTGAAGGTTTCTCAAACTGACTTGAGTGTCTTAAACCTCAAATTGTGTCTTAAACCTTAAATTACGATTCCTTGGGGAACAGTCCACTCTTCCCAAGACAGACGTGGATGGTACAGCCGAGTCCTTCAGGAGCCAGAAGCAAGTCTGGAAGCCATATGAGCTTCAGATTCAGGCAGGCCTGGTTCAGACACAGGCTCTGCCTTGTCCCCTGCAGGGTGTGTGACCTTGAGCAGTCCTATCACCTCAGCTGCTTGATCTTTAATGGAAGTGAGTGCAGCCTCTCTGTGGGCTAGTGGGAAGAGTGAATGGCGGATGCATGCAAAGTTCAGAGCACATAGTGGGTGCTCCTGTCCTGTGGCTGCCTGGCACATAGTGGGTGTTTCTGCCTCTACTTAATGCATAGTGGGTGATCCTGTCTCTTGGCACATAATGGGTGTTCTTGTCCCATGGTCACCAGGTCTCAGTGTTCAGAGATAACGTGCTCTGTTCTCTCACCTGTCCTGTGTAGTCGCAGTGCCTCCAGGATATGAGAGCCTGCAAGCTGGACCCTCAGCGCTGGGATGTCCAGAGCTGGAGATTCATCTGCTCCACCTTGGTCTCCACAAGGCTGTGGTGGCGATGGGGTCCCCTGCCCACCCTTACTCCCAATCACCGAGGTTGGTATCAGACAGTGGATGAAGTGCAGCCGAGATCGTCTCACCAGACTGATGAGCGCATCCTAGGACCAAAGCAAAGAGAAAGTCAGAGCTGATGGGATGTCTCAGCTAGAGGCAGACAGGGGTCTGGACTCTTCCCAAGCACAATTTCAGCTTGTCCTGGTCATCTATGTCCTACATCCAGGATCTCAGGAGAATGGGGAAACTGAGGTATATGAAAGTCCAGTGAGTGGGCCCAGGCCAGAGACCTCTAGCAGAGGTGCTGGGACTGGAACCCAGGGCTTAGTCCTGTAGGGTTTTCAAGCCATAATATTCTGGGAGAGTTTCATTCTTCAAACACATCCTTCCCCTGGTCCATGATCCATGATTTTGATTCTCGTTCACGGTAAGCCTGACCACTGAACAAGAAGATGCTTTCATTTGCTAGCACATTAATGTTGTCAGGCTAGAAAAAAAATGTTTATATCAATGTGGAATCCTGCTGCCTGAACCCCACAAGAGAACATCACAGTGGGAAAGGCAGGTGGAGTTAGCCTGACCTCCATCAGCTCCGACAAGAAGGCCCTGGCAGCCCGTGGGTACACCCTCCTGGTCTGCACAACACCAAGCAGCCAAGGCTCTGCCCTCAGGAGCGACCTTGGCCACACTTCTCTGAGACTTGGAGCTTGCATGTCTATCCACTTGTGGGGCCTGGTAGAGATGAGCAGCCTGGCAGAGGGAGGGTCCCTGTCATGGGGGACCAAGGTCACACGGGTCAGGGCCCACCTCACTCACTCACCATCTGCAGCTTGATTTGGATGCAGGGGGCTTTCCTCTTCACCGAGGCGAGGCTGCTGGCGAAGGCCCTCCTCACCACACGGCTCCGGTGCAGGGCCTGTTGAGAGGTGCCCTCCAGTCCTGCCACTGCACGGCACACAGGGGGAAGCTTGGCCCGGGTCTGGAAGAGCTTCTGCAGCTCCTCCCTAGTAAGGAAGAGAGACGGGGCTGCAGGGGGTTCCTGGGGGAAAGCTCACCCCACAAAGGAGGAAGGCACAAGCCCCATTCGGAACCTCGTCCTGCCTGTGGAGCCTTCAAGTCACAGACCCTGGCTCTTTCCTCGGCTCCTCTCCCTGACAGCAGCACTCTCCTCCCCTGTCCACACATCTCACATGCACTCCCCTGTTCATAGCATCTCACACAAACTCTCTCGCCCCTTGTACACCTACAGCCATCCTACAAAGCCTCTTCCTTGGAGACACAGCCATGCTGGTTATCCTTACAACAGGCCAAGTACACAGTAGGTACCAACTGTGTGTCTGTAGGGATGAATAACTTACTGACTGAAGTGGGAGTTCCTGGAATAGGAGATAATAATTAAGTGTCAGACTCTCACCTAAGCAGCAATTTCTACCTTCCCTCGGGGCTTCCCTGCAAGGGACTGATTCCAGCACAGGTGGTCAAGGGGCCCGACTCATTAAGGGTCTTCCCTCACAAACGTGAGTGGGCTTGCCCTCTGTTTGGGGCAAAAATCAGAGGCAAAGAGATGGAATCTAGGAGTCCAACAGATGAATGAATAAGGGAAATGTGGGTTATGTACACAATTGAACATTTTTCGGCATGAAGAAAGAAATTATGTCATTTATAAGAAAGTGGGTACAAGTAGAGATAATAATACTAAAAAAATTGAGTCTCAGAAGGACAAATATCACATTTCTCTGTAATTTGTGTTCAATTTTATGGAGACATAAAATCATGTATGTGCTGATTCCATGAAAGCAGAAGCAAAATGTCTGGGGAACAAAGAGGCCTGGGGGGAGGGGAGGAAGGGGAAGACAGTGGGGTACAGGGAAAGTAGGTTCAAAGCACATTATTGAGCAATCAGAAGTTGCCATTCAATCCTTCAGATAGAGCAGCCCCCACAAAGAGATCATGAAAATGGCTTTATGTGGTCCTGCAGAATAATTTTAAGAGACACACCAAAATTTTCAAAGGAGAAAGAAGCTGGACAGAACAGAATCTGTTGTGGAAAAGGAAATAACTGGAAGCCAGAGGCCTTGCACCACCACATCCCAGCCCCCTCCTACCCCATGGTTCAGGAACCTTTCTTCACTCCAGAAGGTTGAGGCCCCACCCTAGCCCCTGCCATTAAGAGAGAGGCATACAGGGTGGGTTAAAAGCATGAGCCAATCTCAAAGGTCCACAGACGGAGACCACAGAGAGTCAAGATCAAAGTCTGCCCAGGATGCTGAGTTGGTGCCCAGGAAACGGGAGCCTGGGGTGGAGGGGGCAGGTCCCAGAAGGCTGACGATGCCCACCAGCTCAGGCAGAGGTGCTCCCAGCCCCAGTCTGACTCACTTCACATGGACCACTCTGTTTGCAGGATTATTGGAAGCCTCTGCTTTTCCATTTATCATGTGACCTTGGACAAGTCCCCTGTTTTCTCCAGGGGACCTCAGCTCCCCATTTATGAAGTCTCGCACCTGGTGTAACTCTTATTTTATCGTGGAAAAACAACAAGACAACTCAGAGAGTGACCACTCACTGTCGTGCAAGTGACAAGGGGCAGGACTAGGACTTGATCCAGGTGTATGGGGTCCCCATTCAGTCCTCTGTGGGCTCACTAGGCCCTCCTTTGGGTCACTGTAGGAACTGTATGCACCTATGGTCTCCTATGAACTCTGACCCTAAGACTCTAAGAACTTTTTCAAGTTTCGCTTTTAGGCTCAAGCAGTAACCTAGCTCTGCCATCAGAGGCTGCTCTGTGATCAAAAGTAGATGACCTCAGCACTGAAGACCTCTGTTTTCTCATCCGTAAAATGGGAATGAGGACACAGTGTTCCTCTAAGGAGTAATAATATAGCCACAGAGTGCACAGTGGGAAGTCAAGAAGCATTCCTTCCTTCCATCCCGGACACTAGTACCTCCTCTTGCCTCTAGACTCTGCCCCTATGGGTTTCCAGCATTGAACATGGGAGGCATGTGCCCAGGGACCCACACAAAACAAACATTTTCTATTAACTCGGAAGTGGAGGCAGATCACCACAGGCCTTCCGCCAGTGCTTCTGGGATGACCAAGCAGAGAATGTAGATGTTTGTTTTTTTTTTTTTAATGCTAAAAAATGTAACATTTTGGTTTTATGACCCCACTGAGTTCTAGGATGTCCATAAAAGTTGTTCCAGTCACACCATCTCTCAGATACTTAATGAAAAGCAAAAAGCTCATGTACTGCCTCCCCCCACCCCCGGCCAGCTCTGCTCTGTGGCTGGATTAACTACGGCCCTGGGGAGACATTGTACTACCCCTATTGGAGTCACAGCCCTTCATTCCATTATCAACTGTAGAATTTCTAGACCAGCCCTCACTCACTGGGGTGTTGCTGTTGCTCAAAAGTCCCCATAGGGGAAAATGTGCATCAGCTCAGAGGCCCCTGCCTAGTCTTAAGCTCTAGCCTGACTCACCTTTTGGACTGCTGCAGGACCTGGGGGGCATCCAGGGCTGAGAGGTTGGGCTTGGCTCTGTGAAGCCAGCCCATGAGGTCATAACGCACAGGGTCCTGCCCCAGCTGGTGAGGAACCTCACACTGAAGAGGCTGCTCGCAGGTCCGCAGGGCCGAGGTCCCTGGAAGGAGACAGCGGTGTGAGTACTGGGGATCTGTCCAGAACCCTGGACACTCAGCGACCCCTGGAACAAAGTTTTAACACGTTTCCAGATAGCTAAAGCTAATAGCGCAGTGTAGCCACATCTCCAGGCAATTCTATCTTTGATTTCTTAAGCCCTGGACATCTATTAGACACAAACATCACAGCATACACAGTCTCTCCTGAGTTTCCCTATTGGGGTCCAGGGATCACCTGGGTTGCAATTTCCTCCTGATTTTAGTTAAATCAACTTACATTTTCACAAGCACATTCATTTAAAAAGATTCTATTGTGAGTTTGATGTATAAGCTATATTTCTTTTCTAGCATGCATGGAACTAGTTGTTAAATACTTCAAAAGTATGTATTCATGTGCTATCTAAATTTGTCTAAAGTATCACGAATCAAACAAAGGCACAGCATACTTGAGAGATGTTAGCTCACAGCATCTTGATTGCAAGAGACAGTCAGAGAAATGAAGGCTGGTCCTTAGAGTTGGAGGGACTGTACCTTCCCTGTCGTTTATTACTGTGTGAAGAGTGCCAGGCCATCTAAGTCTCTGAGCCTTAGTCTCTGCTCTGTAAAATGGTGATTAAATAACATGCTTCCCCCGGTGGATAATGATCAAAGGCTGCATAGAGTGGCATGTGGCCTTCACTCAGTAAGTAGTAATGTTGGCACTGCTGTGTACAGCTTAACCTTTGGTTGGTGTTTCAGATTTGCTGAGTGTTTATCTCTGTCCTCAGTGCTCAGCATTGTGCTTGGTACATAAAGTATAGGAAGTACTTGTGGGATGGAGGGATGCATGGATGCATGGATGGATGAAGGATGGATGGATGGATGCATGCATGCATGGTAGGTGGATGGGCAGGTGGGTAGGTGGGTAGATGAATGGGTGGGTGGGTGGATGGATAGGTAGATAGATAGGGAATTAGATGGTTGTGTAGGTAGATGGGTAAATGGGTAGGTGGGTAGATGGGTGGGTGGATGTATGGTTGAGTAAATGGATAGATATATACATCGATAGATGGATGATGGATGAATGAATGGATTAATAAATGATGGGTAGATGGATGAATAGATGATGAGTAGATGGATGGATGATGGGTAGATGGGTGGATAGGTGAATGGGTGAATGGATAGATGAATGACGGGTAGATGGGTGGCTAGGTGAATGGATGAGTGGATGGATGAATGATGAGTGGATGGATGGATGAATGATGAGTAGAGGAAGGATTGCTGTTTATTTATTACGTCGCTGTAACAGATGTGATGCTTGTGGCGGAGTTCACGTGCTTAGGACAGTTGTCTATACTACTGATTATCGCTGGGAAAATAGCATGGTGTTGATTCTTAGATCTATTCCAAATGCCCTTCCTCTATTTTCCCATAGTGCCATCATCAGTATGCCCACATGTATTAGGGGATTCAATCCTTTTCTCAGGTCCTGGTTTGCTGTCTCTAAACTGCAGTGAGCTTGGAAATAAGATACTTGCACTTTATGGAAGTCCCTGAAAAATAGAAAATGCAAGCCTGGGGTCTTCCTATGAGGAAAGGAATGGATTCTGTCACCTAACTGGTCCCTTGTGTCCGATGTCCAGGACACTTCAACATTCTGAATAAATAAAGCCGCTGCTGCTTGCAAGGTGTGCTTCTGGTTAAGTGAAGTACCAAGACATGACAGCTGCCTTAGAACCTGACCCTGCCCTCACAGGAGTCAAGTCCTAATGGGAAGGAAAGTGCTTCACAGGGTGGCAAGGCATAGCCAGGCTTTGGTGTGTATGTGCAGGCTGTTCCCCACAACACTTCAGATATGTTTACATGGCTGCTTTCTCTCCACTGGGCTAAAAGCAGCTCTGGAGTGGGGATTATGTCCAACCCTCACCACACTCCTCTGCTAGCACAGTGTCCCAATGAAAAGAAATACATTAGTTTGCCAAGCCCCAAACAGGAGCTCTGCTAGATACACTAACTTAGGGGGTATCAGTAGGTCTCCATCTGGTCCTCTGCTGGCCTCGGAGCCCGTCTTTGTCCAGAGTGGTGCCCCCTGCATGAGGATGGCACATTTCCTAGGGGATGCTCTGGAGAACAGCTCCCAGGTTCCTGGCTGCTCATCTCACTCATTCACTTCTCCCTCCTGGAGTTGGTTTCCACCCCCTAGTTTTGTCCATTAAAGCATTTCACAGGAGGCTTATGCTTTAAGGAGACCCATGGAAACCACTGGGAGATGAAACCTTGTCTACTGTTGTTTTAAACCTTCATTAACTCTCCAGACAAGGCCCTCTCAGCCCTTTTAGGTCACCGTGTGGGTCTGACTGCCCAGGGAGCCAGGTTCCTTGAGTGCTCCTCCAGGCCCTGATTGGCTCACTGGCCTTTGTAGGGGACTCAGCAGTTGTACTTTAGAAGGGGAGGAGGTCATAAATACTCAAGTTCAAATCAGCCAGAATGCCCAAGGGTTCTGACTGATCGTTCCCATGATCTCAGAGCTCCTCACAAGGCCCGAAATATCTTAGTTAATATGTCTTAGCCAATTCAGGACAAAGGACAGAGCCTCTCCCCAGGAACCGAGAGCTTTATAGCATCCTCCTCAGGGTATCTGGGATAGGACAATCAGGCCTCACTGAAGATGGAAAGGGTTTATAGCTATCACTGGGTCCCTTTCTACTCCAGCCATGCCCTATAAGGGGCCTTTTCCTCCTGACCCTACTTTCAGTCTCCTTTGCTTTAAGGTCAGTATGCAGAGGGAATTCAGTTCATTGCGTTCCTGGGTTCCTGCATTGCTGGGTTTCCACATATTCAATTCTGGGTCAATACTTACTATGTTCCTAAACATACCAGGTCTATTCCAGGGGCTGCCTCTGTGGAGATGACCCAGAGGCTGGTCTTTCCCTGAATCGACGTAGCTGAGGAAAAGGTGTGTGATGTCAGATGGTAGATAAGAGTAAAGATGTGGGAGGTGACAGTGTAGATAATGGGGGAAGGAGGTCATTTTACACAAGGTGCTCAGGGAGACCCCCAAGTCTCCAAGGACATGAGGAAATTCACTGTGCTAGAATGTGGTGGAAGAGCACACCAGGCAGAGGGAATTGCCAAGGCACAGTCCCTGAGGTTGAGCTATGCTGGGTATGTTTGAGGAGCAGCCAAGACCAGGTCAGTATAATTGTGTGTTATTCCATTTTAATGAAACTATGGAGATTAAACTGCTGGGGAATTTTGAAGGGGACAAATCACACCCAAACTACAGGCCATTTTCTCCACCCGGAGAAGGTATATGAGTCTGCCTGGCTTTTGTAGTGAAGCTGTTTACGGGATCCAGGAAATCACCAGGCCCCTACAAGGCCCTGGACCCCTGGCCTTAGGTAGGGTACAGTGAGGCTCACCAGGTCTGACTTAGACTATGGGTTTCCACCCGCCCTGTGTCCTCCTTAACCAGAGTGTGGAAAAAGGAGGGTCAGTCACTGCTAGGGCCACATCAAATGTCAGGCTCCCTCCATGCCAGAGATGCTCAGGGACTCGTTCCTAGACAATAGGCACTTTTTGCTTTCACATGCCCCTGTCATGGTTAGTTTTTATTGTAATTTGATACAACTTGAATCACCTGGGAAGAGGGAATCTTGGGAGAATTTTCTCAGTTCCATTGGCTTGAGGCCATGTCTGTGAGGGATTATCTTGATTAATATGGGTGGGCCTCGTCCACTGTGGGTGGCACCATCCCTATGCAGGCACCCAGGCTGTATAAGAAAGCTAGCTGAGCATGAGCCGGGGGGAAGGCAGAGAGCAAGGCAGCGAGCAGCATTCCTCTGCACTTCCTGCCTCCAGATTCCGGTTTGAACTCCTACACTGACTTCCCTCAACCATGGGTTTTGTGACCTAGAAGTAAAAGCCAAATAGACCCTTTCCTTGCTAAGTTGCTGTTAGTCATTGTTTTACCACAGCAACAGAAAGCAAACTACAACAGCTCCTTCCTCCAAAAGATGTGTGTGTGCATGTGTGCCTGCCTGTGTATGCATGTGTGCATGTATGTTCATATGTGTGCTCATGTGTGAAGGTGTGCACATGTGCGTATGTATGTGTAATCCTGGTTTATGACCTAATAGTGTATGGACTATAGATCAATGTTATTAATACTATGCCATCTGTATATGTGTGTATATATAAACATTGTATTCGACCTAAATTTTTCTTCTGCTTTTAACAGAGGTTAACACATTCTTATGACCCCCCCCACCATACACACACACACAAAACACCATGGACTACAGGTACTGTACCTGCCTGTCAGAGAGCTCCCAACTTTGCTACAAGGAGAGATATTCAGAAAACCCCAAGCTGCTATGAGCCATAGATGCCTGATTTGGAAACCTAAGCAGATCATCGTGGGTGGTCAGCACAGGCTCACTTCCCCAGGTTTGTCACCCTTGACTGCTCACATGCTGGTCTCCCCAGGCTGGATCAGAGGTAACAGCCCTTCCCAATTCTCATATGCCAACCCCCTTGGAGATGGTCGTCTGACTCCCCACCAAGATTGTCCTTGTCTGAGTCTCTGCGACCTCCGCATCCCAAGTCAAGGTCACTCCTCAGCCTGCACTTCCTGTGACCACTAAGCAGCACTGAGCAGGGTGAATCTCTCCCTGTGGCTTCGGGGTTCCACATCCTCCTGACTTTTCATAGTCCCCAGCTATGCTTCCTCAGTCTCCTGTGTGGGTCACTTGTCATGCCTTGGCTCCTTGATCTTGGGCTGTGTCAAGCAAAGCTCTTGAACATGTTCTCTGTTGACCCCCCATCCTTCTGCCCTTGCCCAGGCCAGCATGCCCACCCTCCTTCCTACAGATTGTCAGTCTTGATCTTATCTCCTTGATTAACATGCTAGTCATCCCCTGGAGGTGAAGCTGTTGATTTTATTCTCTGACTTGTCCTCAGGCTGCTCAATTCACACACATGAGGTGTTCCACAAATATTTACTGAGTGGCATTGTGAGTCTCCAAAGCCAGCTGAGACTGGTAAAACCTCCAAGTGTATTTGCCTTCTTAGGTGCCTGAGGAGCACAAGTTTGCAAGGCAGAAAAGCCTACTTCGATCTGCCCCTGTTCCTCTTCCCCCAGGTGGCTGGGGACCAGCATCACCATGGCTCTGCAGTTCTGTGTCCTCATCTCACTCCTCAGAATGTGCTACAGAATCCACCGAGGATGCACCTGCATCTGGGAGACCCCTGCCCTGTGTGTAGACACCCCTTCCAGGATGTCGTGCCAGCCCCTCTGCACCCCTCCTTGCTCCTCAGTGACCTCACAGGTGATGTAGCACAGTGGAGACTCCACAGGGAGTGCCTGTGGTTCCCATGCTCATTCCTCAAGCACAGGAACTCAGAGCTTCCCTGAGTGTCACAGAGAACGGGGAGAGCTGGACTTGAACTTGGGCCTGGTAGGTGCTGAAGGCCAGCTTGATGTCTCCGTTTCCCTTCCCACTTCCACCCTCACCAATCCGGCTGTGCAGTCCCCTGGGTCACCCCTAGGCTAGGCCAGTTTCCCTCATGCTTGGAGGGCTGCCCTCTTGCCACAGCTCCATGCAGCAGCCTACTGGAACCTCCAGGAGATGACTCTGATCTTCGCTCACCTGCCCAGGTCCCTTCCTGGCTTCCGGTTGCTTCAGGATTAACAACAAAGTCTGTGTGTGACCCACAACCTGCCCTCCCAGTAGTCTAACCCAGCCAGCATCTCCACCCTGTCCTACACTACAATTATAAGCACCACCAGAGAAATTATCTCTGCCTGACACAGACCATCAGGCCCTGTCTGGGATTTATGGTACATGTATGTATTTGTCTGTGAACTTGTCCCTTCACTTCCTCCTGAAGGACACAGGCCACATTGGATTGGCTCATACTAAGTAGAGCCATACCCAACACACAGTCCCCAGTATATAATACCCAGTCCACAGCACCCAAAACACAGTATGCAATGAACAACACCTAGCACAGAGCACACAGTGCATAGCACCCAGTGCACAGTATCCAATGCATAGTACCCAACACACAGTATACAGTACATAGTACTCACTACATAGTATCCAATGAACAGTACCCAGCACACAATACCCAATGCATAGTACCCAGTGCACAGTACCAAGCACACAGCACCCAGTAGTACTCAGGGCACAGTAGCTGCCACTGCCTTTGCTGTGTACACAATTGAATGCACTTACCTAAGGGAAACATGGTAGGCATGTGTGCATACCCCTCTGCTCTCACAGCTCCCATGCAGGCCTTCAGGCCTTTCCTAGCTGGTATGGACAGACTGCCCCCTCAGACTGGGCTCAGCCTCTACCCATCCTTCCCCTCACCCTGGTTCCCTTACCTTTGGCCCTAGCTGTCTTCATTTCAAAGGTTGCACGCAGCCGCTCGAGCACCACACTGTCACTGGAGCCCTCCACCCGGACTTCCTCATCCAGGACCCAGAAAAGGCCCCCAGCACCCTCGGATCCTTCTCCTCTAGCTGGCAGGGGGACCTGGTAGGAAACACTGTGAGCTGAGAGACCCTGATCCTTACAGAGACCAGTGCTGGGCCTCTCTTCCCACCGACAAGAGGCAGAGGAGCAGGTCCCAGCCCTCCGCACTAGCTACCTGTCTGAACCCGGGTTCCCATTCACCCCCATGCCCCAATGCCAAAGCCACAAAACTAACAACAGCCAGGAGTTCAAATTCTCTTCCATCTTTGCTTCCTGTGTGACCCTGGTAACTCACTGCAGCTCTCTGAGCCTCCCTTCTATCAGTGTAAAATGGAGACTGGAAATACCTTCCCAGTGGGCTGTGGTGAGGGTTTAATACTGGGAAGCCTGCTGTGATTCCTTCCCAGATGCAGGGAACCAGTTCCTGTGCACAGCCAGCCACACCACACCCTCTTAGAAGTCTTAGAATTTATTACATTAAGATCCTGCAGAGTAACTTTAAAGAGACAACCACACTAAGAATATTCTAGAGAACATGAACTTATTTCCAGGAAGATGTGGACTTTTAAAACCAGTCGCTAGCCATGGCAACCCTCTAGGAAATTTGTAATTTTGCTTATAGACAACTGAGGGAGGCCTGGTGAGTTTCAAGTTGACAACCTAAAGTCTAGTTGAGTAATTATGGGACAACCAGCCAGCCCCTGCCTCCCTGTCAGCATCTGGGACCCAGGCTTCCTGGAACTTGGAGTTGTGAGTGCTAAACTGAGTGTCCTGCCTGGGAATGACATGTCCACACCCCTGCAGAAGGCAAGGGACACAGCCAGGGTCACTTGGTAAGCCCAGAGGCAAAGTTGGCCCCAGGGACCCCAGGCCTTCACTATGGCTTTGTGCACTAGGGTAGCTTTGACCCCAGTGGCCTTGGGACTATCCCACTCTTCCTAATCCATGTGGTTGGGTTTTCTTTAAGCTTGACCTTTCCAAACACAGTGACAGGGGAGGAAGCTATGTGATGAAAACAGCTAGAATCTTCCACGGGAGACTCAGCATGGCAGCCTCCCCAAGGGGTTATGGAGGAGGGGACTTTACAAGGGCAGTGCAGCCCGGTGTGAGCAGGAGCAGACAGGGATCCCAGGCTCCCAGTGTGACTCTGTTCTAAGCTGTCACTGCAGCATAAAGCTGAGACCCAGGACATCTCTATCTCCAGTTGCTGGGCTGCACCCACAGGGGTCAGAGTAGGATCAAGGCAGGGACCCCAGTGCCAGTGTCTCTAACAATTCTGGGGGATTCCATGTGCAGAGAGCTTGGAGAGTTAGCAGTTTGGAGCCTTCCGTGTGCTGGTTTCATATCTGAGAGCCCCAGGTCCCTGGTCCCTCATTACCTGTGAGGGGTTCTGATCCACGACAGCCACTGTAGTTGCTGGGGAGGACTCTGGGAGGTCAAAGTGTACCGGAACCCCTTCCTGAAAAATCATAGGATGTAAAAGTCAGTTCCCTCCCAGAGCTGAGGGGGGCAGAGAAAGAAGTGAAGACTTTCATCACTGTTAAGTCATTCTTTCAAAAGTTATTTTCTGAAACTGTGGTAAAAAAATGCACACAGCATAAACCTTGCAGCTTTAACCATTTCTAAGTGTAGCTCGGTGGCATCAATGACTTCCAGGATGTTGTGCAACCACCACCGCCATCCTCCAGAGCTATTTAAAATAACACCTATTGTCGGACATGGTGATGCTTAATCCCAGGACTCATGAGGCAGAGGAAGGCAGTTCTCGGTGAGACTGAGGCCAACTTGGTCTACATAGCAAGTTCCAGGCCAGCTGGGGCTACCGGGAGACCCTGTCTCACAAAACAAGCAAACAAACAAAATTAACACCTATTAATTGTACATATCAACACAGTTTGGCGTAAGGTTTTGCTGCACAGAGTGTGCTCAGCTTTTCCACCTCAAGAGTAACGACAGTGTACACTGCCCAGCTCCCATCTTCCCGCTCACCCAGTCCTGCTTACAGTCCTACCTTGAGGCTCTGTGACTAATGGCTCTAAGTCTCTCACATAAGCAGGATCACACAGAACTTCTGTGACTGGCTGGTGTCACCCAGTCATCCTCCTTATAGCAAGCATCAGAATGGACTTCCTTCCAGAATGGCTGGGTTTGCTTGACTTTTCATCATGGACAGACACCCGGAAGACTAAACCTTCCATCTGCTGTGAACAGTGCTTCTGGGAATGTGGCTTTGAATGGCTCTACAGAACCGTGCTTTGCATTCTCAGGGTGTGCACTCCCAAGGGGACTTGCTACCTGATGATTTTCATTTCAGTGTTCTGAGGAACAGCATCCTGTTCTACACAGTGGCTCCGCTGACTGTTCCCACCATCCCATGTCCTTGTCGACACTGTTTACTGTGTCTGCCTTTGTTGTGTTGTGTTGTGACAGTCGTCATTCAAATGGGTGTGAGGTGAGTCTCACTGTGGTGCTGTGTGCATTTCCCTCGTGACCCCTGAGGTCCGGCCTCTTTTTGTCTCCTCAGGACCAGGGGTTTATCCTCTTTGCAGAAGTAATTGTTCAAGTTGCTTGCTAGGTTTATAACAGAGTTGCTTATTTTTATGGCTTCTTGAGCTACACTTGAGAAGAAATACTGTGGACCAATATTTCAACAACACATTGATACTGCTCTTCAAGCAAGGTCCTTCACAATCCTTGTGCACTTTATCAGAAACTGGAAATTCCGTGCAAACTTTAAAAATATTTGCTAAGCTGGGCATGGTGGTGCACACCTTTAATCCCAGCACCCCAGGAGGCAGAGGCAGGTGGATCTCTGTGAGATAGAGGCCAGGCTGGTTTATATAGTGAGATCCAGGCCACCTGAGGCTACACGGGAAACCCTGTCTCAAAAAAATTAAAAATAAAAACCTAAAAATATAAAAATATTTGCTGAGCACCTACTAAGTGCTGGGCTGAGTGTTCAGTGCTGGGCTGAGTACTCATTGTTGACGTGAGTACTAAGTGCTGTGTTGAGTACTCATTGTTGGGCTGAGTGTTTGGTGCTGGGCTGAGTACTCGTTGGGCTGGGTATTTGGTACTGGGCTGAGTGTTCTGGGCGGGGGGCAGGGAGCATAAGCAGAAACTATTTATAGTAACACCTGCCACAGGAAATAAGCCCAAGTGCTCAGACAATGCTGGGTATAATGATAACCCTGTGTGGTGCCATTTATAGAACCTCATACCTAGAAATCACGCAGGTGTCTCAAGGAGAGTCAGCATACAGTCAGACACAACTAGTGAAATGCACACAACTACAATGTGGGAGTGGAGTGAGAACTATAACCAAAGTCCTGTGCACAGCGGGTGGGAAACCGTGGGGCAAGCGGCAGATGGGGAGCGGTTGTTCTAGCTCAGAGCAGGGCAGCCAGGCATCTGGGGAGGGGGAGCAGGACATTGAATTTCTGTTTCTTTAGAGTTCGATGCAATTTCTAGCTCTTAAATAAAGAATGGAACTGATGATTCAAACTTGGGTCCTCTTGTTTTCATAGCAAACAATTTAGTAACTGAGTCATCTCTCTTTTTTTTTTTTTTTTTTTTTTTTTTTTTTTTTTTGAGACAGGGTCTCGCTATAGCCCTGGTTGGCCTGGAACTCGAGATCTTTCTGCCTCAGCCTCCCAGGTGCTGCGTCACCCCCAACAAAAATGACCATATTATTTGATAAGAAAGGAAGATTGGGGAGATGTGACAGTTGCACCCACACACTGAATTTCTAGAGAGCCTAGAAACTGTCTGTTCTGTTCCTTCAAGGCTCAGCCCCTGTAAGGAGCATGGTAACATTTAAGCTGACCCCAGCTCTCTCGCTAGCCTGCTCTTTTGCAGACTGTCATCAGGTCTCCAAGAAGTGTGGCCCTGCCCTCCCCTGCTGAAGTCAGGACTCAACCTGAGACTCACAGTGACAAATCCAGTAGGTGTGAGGGACCCCAGGTCAGCTGTAGTCAAGGGTGAAGGTGCCTGCACTCCCCCTAGCAGCCTTCGGACTCTGCCCAGCACCATGAGACAGGTATGGGCCTGTCTATTCAAGAGAAGAGGTAAGGCCCTCCCAGCCAAGGCCTGCCTTGGTCAGTTCATACTGACACCCTGGGCATATGAGAGAGCCCAGTTAAGGTCTGTAGATCCTGACCTACATGTGACCACAGGCCCAGAGCCATACCAGACCAGAGGAGCCACTGGCTTCAGGGTGGTTTGTTCTCCAGGTATGCTGTGTCAGATACAGGATACAGGAGTGCTATTATCTCAGCTTCCCGTGTGTGATGAGTTTGGGGCTCAGCGATGGTGAGCGGCTTTCCTAAAGCCACACAACCAAGTGCCAGATTTAGAGTCTCACCCTCTAACCCATAATTATTCTTTGGCAACTGATCCATGTGACACTGCTATTTTTATTGCTGTCTGGGCTCCAAGCAATAAAACGACTATAACTTCAGTGCCTGTCACCCCATGAACAGCAAAATGGCCATCACCCCCACCTCGTCCTGAGTGCTTCTTCGATCCCACACACTGGCCTCATAGGAGGAGGAAGGAGCTTCGAGGTGGACACACAGCACATTCCCATAGATAAATTCTCTGGGCTGCCCACTTATGGTGTGTGTGTCCTTCTGTGCTGCAGTTTTGAGACTGTCGCCTCTGATGCCAGCACAGGGTTTCTAAGGAGAGCCTTCCAAAGGTGACTGGGCTGGGAAGGCTTACAGTGGAGCCTTCGGGGACACCTGGCTCTCTGGCCCGTCCACAATCCAGACAGGGACATGGGAGGGCATGACGGCTCTGCTCGAGATGTAGCAGAAGGCACCATCTTGGAAACAGAGAGCAGCCCTCACCCGTCAGTCAAACCTGGCCTCGCTTTGAAATGCCTGCCTCCAGGATCATGAGAAATAACTTCTGTTCTTCATAGGGAGCTAATCTCAAGGTTGTTGGTAAAAATATCAAGATGTGTGAGGTACTGAATTTTTGTTTTGTTTTGTTTGTTTTTTGTGGGGGTTTTTTGTTTTTTTTTTTTTTTTTTTTTTTGAGACAGGGTCTCCCTGTAGTCCCAGCTGACCTGAACTCACTATGTAGACCAGGCTGGCCTTGAACTCACAGAGATCCGCTTGCCTCTGCCTCCCAAATGCTGGGACTAAAGGCATGCACCACCACACCTGGCTTGCTTTGCTTTTTGAGACAGTCTTACTATGTAGCCCTGGCTGGCCTTGAACTCACAGAGATCCTCCTGCCTCTGCCTCCCAAGTGCTGGGACTAAAGGTGTGCACCACCACATCTGGCTTGCTTTGCTTTTTGAGATAGTCTTACTATCTGGCCTTGAACTCACAGAGATCGCCTGCCTCTGCCTTCCTAGTGCTGGGATTAACAGTGTGCACCACCTGACCAGTGACTTTTTTTTTTTTTAATACCAGTGTACATCGTTTCTGGAAATCCTCACAGAAGGGGGATAGCCTGATGCCTACACCTGGAACTGTTTGAAACAGCTGCCTTGCTCATTAAAGGGCATTCAGTCTTGTGTCTGCCTCAGCAGTGGCTCCTGAGGGGCCGGCCCTTCCTGGTGGAGAGGAGGAGGCAGAGAACCCTGGTCTTGGTGCTGGGGGAGAGGAGAAGCAGCAGGAATGAGGTGGGGGGAGCTCAGCTCCTAAGGGGGTTCTAAACTGCAGGAGGCAGTAAGCAGGGTCTAGAGACAGCCAGGGGCAGATGCCAGGAAAGCCAGAAATGGAATCAGGCTCGCTCTGTGAATGAAGCAGGCCACTTGGGGCAATCTTCAGCCTTGATGTCTGCCCTGACGCCTGGGTGCAGGCCTAGGAAGCATCGCTCCAGCTAACACTTACCTCTTTGTATCGCTCCAGAGTCGAGACAAAGGTCCTGTGGTAGAAGAGCAGCTGTAAGCGCTCATGAGCATAATTGCGGCACAGCTCCTCAAAGGTGGCTGCCCGGTCCTTGCCCTGATGCCGGGGATTTTGAAAGCCTGGAGAGTCAACCACCATGATGGAGGCCATAGACAGATGATGGGAGGAGAAAGATCTAGGGAGAGAAGAGAAAGGCCTTGAGCTGACATGGAATCTAAAAGTCTGCTGGTTCAAGCCTCAAGCCTCCCCCACAGCAGTGATGGAGAAACTGAGGCAGCACGCTAGGTGGGTCTGGAGATTCTGCAGATCTGATTTCAAATCCCAGTTCCTATTTACAGGCTGTGTGGCCCCAGGCAAGCTTCTTGACCTCTCTAGGCACTGTTTTCCTGGCTAATCCCTGGCTGATCCCTGGCTGCAGTTTAATGGTAACAAAGTATCTCCCGTGGCTCAGAAACACAGCCAGTTTTCAGTTCTCAGACTTCTCCAGAGGGCACAGAGTGGAGTGTAGCTGTCAGAAGGCCACCCAGCAAGCTGACTACCAGTCAGCAGGGGAACGTCCCTCTCTTTCTGGGGTACATTGAAGTTGAGAAACCATTTTGCACATGGGTCTGGTATACAGGATTCTTTCAAGCAATCAGCTTCCTGGACACTTTTGATGCATCTGCCAGGGTGAAGAGATGGGAGCTGTCTCATGCGGAAGTGGAAAGGCTTTGAGCCTCATGGGCTGCCATCCCGTTCTGCAGTGGAGGTGCTCACAGCAGACCTGCCCCATCTCTGAGATGCTAAGCACTGAAACGGTTAATGGTGGACGTTAGCTCCAAAGGCTTCTGGGAGAGTGGAGCACGACAGCACACCCATGCCACCCATTGCTGTGACGGTGCAGCCTGCTGTGTGACTGCTGCTCAGCGAACGTCCTCAGCTCCCCTCATCCTCAGAAGCAGCCCCCGTCAGATCTGGAGTGCACAGTTCAAATCTCACTTCTCCACTTGCCAAGATTTTCCATCAATAAAGCCATATGAAAAAAAGTTCCCAGAAAGAACTCCTGCATCTTGGCCTGAAGTTCCTGAAAGTTCCTGAAGTTCCTGATTAGCACTCTGGAGATTGTGGAGAGTCTGGAATGTTGCAGATCCAGAGGCTATTCACAAATCATCTGGGGACATCTTTAACCCCATAAATCGCCATACCTTGCTTATTTCTGTTCCTGAATTAACATTCTTGTAACCAATAAAATTTATAGCTTAGCAGATCACCAGATCTCACCAATCAAAAAGCTAAGCATGTCAGAGCTGGAGAGATAGCTCAGTGGTTAAGAGCACTGACTGCTCTTGCAGAGGATCCGGGTTCGATTCCCAGCACCCACACGGTGGCCACGAGCCATCCTTAACTCCAGTTCCAGGGGAATCCGAAGCCCTCTTCTGACCTTCATGGCATTGCATGACACAGGTGCACTCATGTGCGTGCAGGCAATACAATCATACACATAAAATAAAAATAAATAGATATTTTTTAAAAGCTAAGAATGTCATCAGATCTCATCTGAGACCTATAGTAGAAGTCCCTGCCCCTGTTTTGCTATGACCTGCTACTGAATGTATCCACCAATGTATTTGAAAAGTCTCTTGATTTATGATTTTTCTTTGTTCTGTTACTATAAAATGTAACTGTTACCACACTGGAATGTGGAATTTGGGGTAACCTGACTCTGTGTTCCCGGGCCATGGTCACTCATATTTGGCTCCAGAACAAACCGTCTCTTATCCCCTTTGAGGTGAGAGTTATTCTTTTGTGTTGACAGCCAGGTCAAGAGGAGCTGCTACCATAGCGACATGCCTGGAGAGGGTAAAGTCTCAGGTGCCAGGGATGTAGGCACCCACTGGGGCTCTAACTGTTCCAGCAGCCTAGGTTATCATCAAAGCATCTGTTCCAGAGATGTGGGCTGGGAGAATCTAACTAGTGGAGCAGCCATGGCTGGAAGAGGCACCCCACCCCACCCCCACCCCCGCCACCACACTTCATTCACTCTTGGCTGCCAGTCCTCCCTTCTCTAAGCACATGGGTTCCCTCTAAGCACACGAGTTTCAAGATAAGCGCCTGCATCTCTGATGGTAATTATTCAGACAGCGATAGAGGTAGTTGATTCTACAGTCCTGATGGTGAAGATACTGGCTACTCGGTTGCTACGCAGCAGGCTCATCCTCTAACAAGACTTCAGTAGCCTAATTATGCTGCTCAGTCTGGGGAAGCAGGGAAGTGCTTGTCACATGCCCACCCTAGCCTCTTTCCCCATGAGCCATGTTGAGCTGCTCAAAGGGCTTCTGAAGAGGCCAGGTGAGGCCGGGCTCAGAGCAGGGAACATGGGTTGGAGCCAACTCCTGCAGCCCACTGCACAGCACACACCCTGCACAGTCATACCCTGGCCACCTGCCTTTCTGTCCTTGCTCCTACCCCCAGTAGGAAAACTTAGAAAATTAAATGACAAAGACAGCATGCTGGAAGACACAAGAGGGAGGCCAGCATGGAGCCAGCTCCCATTTCCCCTCATCAGACTCTTCTCTGTGTACTGGGCCGCTGTGAGCAGTAATGACACAAGGCAGATTGCATCATTAGGGCAGCCCCTGGCCCTTAGCAGGTGCCCCTAAATCATTAGCGTTTATTGTATTGTTGGTATGATGGTATTTGTGTGTGGACATGTATGCACATATGTGTGCACATACATGTGGAGGCCAGAGGTTCATGTCAGGTTTCTTTGTCTATTGCTCTTCCCCTTACACTTTTTTTTTTTTTTTGAGATAGGGCCTCACCATGTAGACCAGGCTGGTGGCTAGCTTTGAACTCACAGAAACCCACCTGCCTCTGCCACCTTGGCCAGCCGCCCCCCCCCCCACTTTTAAAGGCAGAGTCTCTCACTAAGTCTGCAGCTCACTGAATGGCTAGAGTAGATAGCCAGTGAACTTCAGGGATCTGTGTATCTCCACCCCTCCAGCACCTGGATTACAGATGTGTGCCGTGTTACCATGCTTGACTTTTTACATGGGTGCTAGGGATCTGAACCCAAGTCCCCATGCTTACGTGGCCCCACTTTGCCTACTGAGCCATCCCCCCACCCCATTGTTGGTAGTTTTGCTGTTTGAAAGTTACTTCAATGCTTTATTCATTTCTTTTAATCTCCCAGTGACACTGGTGAAAGAGCCATGTCACAGAGGGAAAAAGGGAGATCAGAGACATAATGGATTTGCCAACATCACACAGCCAGTGGACAGCCAGGTGGGATCTGAACCCAGATCCATCTACCTTCAAAGTCTCTCGCTTGCTCAAACACTTCAGTCTGCTTAATGCCCTGGTTTGAGCCCCTTGAGCAGCCGAGGGAGGCCCTGGCTGTGTCTAAAAATGACCATGTATTACCTGTTGATGAGTGAGACCAGGGCAGCAAAAAGTTCTTGGTACAGGCCAGAGGCCATCCCTTCCACACACTCCACGCCTGTCATCTTGAGCCCTGGAGAGGAGAGACAGCAATGGGTCAGTATTCCAGGAGTGTGACCTTGTCCAGGACAGAGGTGTCGCTATAGAGCAGCAGGGGCCACAGGAGTTAGAAATCCCTTCCCCCAACCAGGAGCTCAGATAATGGTCTTAGCACAGGCTACAAGCATCTTGGGGACCCCATGGTGTCCCCTAGGCTGGCCCCACCTCAGCTTGACGCTACCAGGAAGTAGTAGAACCTTTCTAACACATGGAGCCTAATGGGAGGTATTAGTCACTGGGAGTGTGGCCCTGAGCCATGGACCCTGGCCTTTTGATTCCACTCTCTCTTTCCCTATGCCATGAGGTAAGTGGCTTCTTCATCAAAGGGTGCTGCCACTCCACTACCTGGAAGCAACAGGCCAGCCCATCACTGAAACCTCTGAACAGCAAGCCCAAATAAACCTTTCTTCTTTTGAATTTGATTATCGCTGGTATTTTGTTACAGTACAGAAAGTTGACTGGCACAGTCACCTCCCTAGGGAAGCCCTCCCTGACTACTCTTCTTACCTTTAGGCTGATTCCCAGATCTATATTGGGTTTCTAGCTCCAACTATAGCCTATTCTTATGTGGTCATTTTTTTGAAACCTCTGAAGCTGGGAGGGCCTTGAAGTGAGGGACCATTTCTGAAGTCAGGGCTTTAAATCCCTAGCACTGGGTTCAAGGTAGAAGTATAGTCCATGTTTGTGACTTGCACTTCTCTGGAGGGAAACTGGATGAAGTTATGTCAGAAACAAGCTCACGTTCATACACTGGGACTCAATCACTTCACCCCGAGGCTTTTATTTGGAGGAAATATTCTGAGTAACAAAGATATCAACTACATAGACTCTTCCAGTCGTTGGTTGACTTGGGAAGAATCACTTTGGAGACCATTTGCACAGCCCACAGCATGAATGGGTGAGATCAGTGGGCCCACCAGAGCAGAGGCCCTCAAAACCCAGGTGTAGACGTCTAAGACCCCTCCGGCCTCTCTCCAGCGTCAGAGGAGTAGAGAGGCTTAGCAAACTCTTACAATCGGCAAGATTTGATTGGACACACACCGGCATGAATGCAATCCATTAAAGCAGCCACCCTCCATGAGGCCGCGAGGAAGAAAATGGTACAAGAAACAGGCCAGTCACAGCCCCAACCTTCAACCCTGCTCCATTCACAGAATTAGAATCCACCTGCTGGTCTGCAAACTCTAGAATCTACATGAATATCTCTGCTTGTGTATTCTAGACATCCTGCCCGCCTGCCGCAGCCCCCCAAACACTCCCCATCCTTCCCTTGGCTCCACCCAGACTCTGGGCTGTTGCTAGGCAACCCAGAACCTTCCAGCATCACCCTAGTCCTGTAGGTCCCTGTCTCTTTAATGACCACCCTTGAGACCTTGGCTGGAGGTGTCTACACAGACTCAGGAAATGGTGGGCATGTGTGTCTGTTTTGTGTGTGTTCTTTGCACGTGTCTTTGCATATATGTAGTACACATGTCCGTGTGTGCATGCTGTCTGTGTATGCATAGAGGTACATGTATGTAGTATGTGTCTGTGCATGCTGGTCAGGCGTGTGCATGTGTGTGTATATATGTGTTAGAAAGGATGGATGAGGACAGCTGAGCTTGTCCCAGGCACAGACCTGGAGGGAAACAAAAAAGTCTGTGGGATCTGAGTGACAGCAGACTGCAGCTCCAGGGACTGTGTCCCCAAGGTGCACTTCAAAGCAGCCCTTCCCCTCATCCCAAGCCCTCCTGTCTGACAGAGCACAGAGAGTTCTCAGACACCTCCAGGGCTCTGCTCACCCCAATCTTCTGCAGCAAGGGTGTCTGGCCAACGGAGCCACAGCTGGGGACTCTAGGGATCCTACCCTCATGACACAGAGCTGAATCCTGCCACCACCCCCTCACCAGTGAAACCTGAACCCTATTCCTGCAGCTAACCCTATTCCTGTTCTAGATGGCATCTAGTCCCTCTGCTTTCCAAGGGCTCATGGTGTCTCCTCGCTCTGTACCCAGATCCAGCATCTGGCTTCCTCCTATTTCTTTCACCACTCGGTCACTGCTCCGGCAGTGTCCCCTCTCGCCTGGTGACTTCTTTTGTGTGCTGTTGTATATGTGTGTGGTGTACCTACATGCTCATGTGGGTGTGTACATGTGTGCACATGCATGTGGAGGCCAGAGGTGTCTTCTTTGTCCTCCACTTTAGTTTTTGAGGCCTGGGGCTCACCGGTTCAGCTAGACTGGCACTGAGGATCCCGTCCTCCAATCGCCACTCTCTAAGCACTGGGATAGCAGCCGTGCACTGCCATACCTGGCTTGAATGTGGGAACTGGGACCCGAACTCAGGTCCTCACACTTGCACAGCAGGCACTGAGCCGTCTCCCCAGCCCCTCAACTGATCCTTTCTATAGGTTCCCAGTGGAGCCTCCCTTCTCCTGTTCCCTCCTCAACCTTCAAGCTGAGGTTGGCAAAGAACAAGTCAGACGTTGCCCTTCCTGTTTAAGCCACCTCAAAGGTTCTCATCGGTCACTGCAAACAGTATGTGGTGGCTGAAACCCACACCCCAACCAGCAGAGCAAGCTATTTGGCCATAAGCACCAGGCAGGTAGGAGCCATGTCCCTTTCCACCCACACTGGCGACCCCTGTGCCTGGTACAGGTGCACGCGACAGGTCTCCAAAGAAGGCTTGATGAACATGAGGAAAAGGGAAAGCAACACAGGGACGGCCACCGTGCCACCCCAGCACAGAGCCAGGCACCCAGAGTGTAGCTACACAGGCTTGCTACCTGAGCCCGTGTCCTCATCCTTCAGGCCCCGCCGCTTGGGCCCCGCCGTCATCTGCTGGATGATCTGCCGCAGGTGGTGCTTGAAGGTGGCCGTATTCAGCTCCTCGTAGTCACAGCCCAGGACCTCGGCTGCACGGTTGGCCCACTCAAACCGCATGAACTGCTTCCGGCCCACTGTGGACAGGATGAGGGATAGCATACTCACACCCATTTTACCTTTTCAAAGTCATTAAAATATGTATGAGGACCCCCCTCAATAGGGGTTCAGGAATAGAAGTAGGCTGTGTCCATCCATGTGTCTGTTTATCTGTCCTCTCACCAATCCACTACCCTCTGCCCTCACATACCCGCCAGTCACCCAACTACTCATCCAGTTGCCCAGCCACAAAGCTATAGTCAGCCACCTGTGTAATCAGCCTGCATTTACTGAGCCCCTGTGATGTGATACACACTACATTAACCACAGGAAACCCAGTGGTGTTGAGTCACATAGGGTGGCTGCCTTGTGCAACTTACAGTCCAGTAAGGGAGTTAGACAAGAAGTAAGTGGACAGTCACCCAACTACTCATCCAGTTGCCCAGCCACAAAGCTATAGTCAGCCACCTGTGTAATCAGCCTGCATTTACTGAGCCCCTGTGATGTGATACACACTACATTAACCACAGGAAACCCAGTGGTGTTGAGTCACATAGGGTGGCCGCCTTGTGCAACTTACAGTCCAGTAAGGGAGTTAGACAAGAAGTAAGTGGATGAACAGATAAATGAGGTAACTTAAGGAAATAAAATAGGCACCATGCCCAGCACAAGGAGAAATTAAACCACGATGAAGGACAGAGACAGAGGCTCTGCTCTGCTAGCCCCCTGTGCTGGTCAGAGGGGCTGTGGGAAGATATGACTATGGGGCTGTGGCCATGGAGGAGCTGACTGCTCAGAGAACTAATAGGTGAGGGGGCCGTGCAAAGGCCCTGAGGAAGAAATGAGTGTGGTATGTCAGAGAGGCACGGAGACAACCACTGTGGCTGGAGTACCATGGGGAGGAGGAGGAGAGTAGTGAAGTGAGAGACACACAATACAGAGGGGATCCACACTGAGGAGCAGTGAGAGGCCATTTAAAACACGGACTCTGCACAGCATGAGCACAAACAGTGCTTACAGATGGGGGAGAAGTGCAAAGCGGATGACAAACCATCCCAAAGGATGGCTTCGGAATTCTCTCCATTCCAACAAGACCACCGGGAATGTGGTTAGACAGTAAGCACAGCTGGGTAAGGAGATGTCCTGTTTCCCCAACTTCCTACAGTGGATGCTGCGATCCAAATAAAAGCAAATGATTTATTAAATCACAGCACTGCCCCCCAAATGCCCTCCCCACCCTCTCATAAACGCATTTCTCTGAAACAAGCACAGCTGCCCTCAGAGACCCGCACTCCAGCCCAAGCTGATTCTGAGAGTCCACCGGGCTTGGAAGACATCTGAAGAATTGGCCTCAGAGCAGACTAGAATTCTGGGGGAAAGGTTCTACCTGAGACTTGAAAGCGACACGGCGCAGGGGGGCTCATGTGTAGTTGCTGCTTCCCAAGGTGTTCCTGTGCAACCGCTGCTCAGTGCTGGTCACCACAAGCATCACATTATCAGGCCCATTTTACAGACATTGAAAGTAAGACCCCTGAAGTAACGAGGCTATTCAAAAACGATAACACAAGTGATGATGGTGGTAACGGTGTAGTGATGATGATGATGAAAGTGATGGTGAGGATGGTGATGTCATAATGATGATGGTGATGGTGGTGATGATGGAGGTTAGGATGGTGGTGATGATGAGGGTGATGGTGGTGATGATGATGCTGATGAAGGTGATGGTGGTGGTGACTGTGGTGATGATGGTGATGATGGTGATGTGATAATGATGAGGGTGATGGTGGTGATGATGGAGGTTAGGATGATGGTGATGATGAGGGTGATGGTAGTGATGATGGAGGTGATGGTGGTGATGGTGGTGAAGGTGGTGATTGTGATGAGGATGGAGGCAGCACTAAAGGTTGTTCTGAGAGTAGCTAAATCTCGCTGACTTTGTCTTATTGAACATCGCATCTTTGTTTAACTCACCAGTTTGGAGGCTTGACAATCTATGCAAGATTCCCACATATGGCACCTTAGCCCTATTCATTATCTGTTATTTTTTAATTTTCACAACAGTCTTAGAAAACACTATTATCTTTTGCAGTTTTTGCTTCCCTGTTTAGACAGAGTCTCACTATATAGCCCAGACTGGCCTGGCACTCATGGAGTAGCTGAGGTTATTCCTGCAGGCTCCATCCCTGCCTTCACCTCAGGGTGCTACAGGCTGCCCAGCCATTGTTACTTACAGATGAGAAAAACAACTCAGAGAACTGCTGAACAATGGACGGCCGCTGAGTGGAAGAACACTTTTTCACTAAATCTGTCCTTCAAATATCACTGTTAGGAAACCTATCAGACTCCTGTGACCCCAGACAGAAGTTCTCTGAGGCAGGTTCACTTATCTCTTCCATTTAGACAAACACATTGTGAAAGGAAATGCTAGTGTTCTATCTTAGATGAGAACCCGTTATCGCCTGTCACAAGAGAACGCAGAAAAAAGTACAATACAGAAGCCAGCAGACCATTAGATTCTAATTAGATACGTTACCTCTGAGGCTGAAGCCAGCTCTCTCTTTGTTAACAAGGGAACTGAACCAGCAGTAGAGAGAGCCCTACAGACCATTACCCAGGAAGAGGCTCCCTTCTTCCTCAGTGGGGTAGTAAGTGAGCTAACAGGAGCTGACTTTGTGCTGGTGACTCCTGTCCTCATCCAGTGCCTCACCACCCACAGCCCCTCTGGAGTCTCCACACTTCCCCTGCAGCGAGTGACCTGCCCAGCCTCAAGAAACTGGCAAAGTTGGGAAGGGGATTGGTGATGAGGTTTCTGAAAGAAGGGGCAGCAGGCAGTCTGGTAGGCCCTCGGGCTCCTGTCTGACCTATGTGGACATTTCTGGGTTCTTATGAGTGGCTGCCTGTAGTGACATCGAAGGGGTCTACAGGGGCTTGGCATACATCATCAGCGCCCCAATGCTGACCAGGATGTAGAACCCAACCCTGAACTCCTCCATTTTGCTCAAATGGGGAGAGCAGCCCCCATCTTCCCAAGGAAGGCCTTAGTTAGTTTTTCAACTGAGATGTAAGGCAGAGAAAAACAGAACCAAGGGCCAACAGGACCCAAGGCCAAATCTGGTTCCTATCATTTGAGAATTGTCCAGTTGGCTGCACAGTCATTTTGAAACTGGGTCTCCCTATGTGTGAAAGATCATCAAAGTCCTAAGAGCCCTTCAGAAGGGTATAAGGACTGGGGGAGATGGTCCCCTGGTGACATGACCCCCCAGGCCCGCTGTGCACAGACACCCTTGCAGGTCTTTCTGTCTACAGCTTCAGGACCAAGCTTGGGGATCTCAGTGTCCCTTTCCCCCTCAAGGCCATCATTTGAAAATAATGACAGTCATTGAGAACTGAGAAGGACATGTCTTCCAGGCACTGTGCAGGACACAGCCTGTCCCTGTGCCCTGTCTCATGGACTTTCACATAAACTTTCCAAAATAACATAGAAAGAGCCTGCAAGTTCAAGTTTCTCATCCAAAGTGCTACACAAAGTAACTTAGAGCCTGGCCAGGCCCTGTGCAGCAGCCACCCACAGAGGATAGAGACCTGTAGGTGCATCATTGTTATTGAGCTCCTGACTTAGACTTGGCCCCAGGATGCAGTAAACACTTGTGACATGTGTCACCAACTGAGGACTAAGTCAAGGAATGAATAATTGGTCTCCCTGATGGCCGGTCCTGGCTACTTTCCAGCCTTACTCCTCCAAGATTCAGAAAAGAGAACAGGTTAGTTTTTTTCTCCCCCCAGGAGCCAGCCATCTGGACCATTAGTTCATACTCAAAACACCAGGAAAAGATAAAAGAATAATTCAAACCAAAGCCAGCCAGGTAGAGACATGGAGGGAATGTCAGAACCAGCCTCTGATAGGGAAAGTGGGGGCTAACTGCCACTGCCCTCTCTAGAGGGTCATCCACGCTGCCCAGACAGACTCTTCTCTCCTCCACTATGTTCACTGGGTCGCCAGCCATTCCTTGGGTGTGAGTGAGAAACAAGCCCCTGCAGCCAGGGAATACCACAGCCTCACCCCCCTTACCTGGACCCTGGCACAGCCTCCTCTGGTGCCTTCTGGGCTCACATCCCACACATAGAACTTGCCCTTGAACCCTTTTCTCGGCATCTTCTACCCCCAAGGTATGAAGCCAAGAGAAAGCTGATCAGGAGCCACCATGCACGGCCACACTGAGCCATGGTTAGCGGATCTTCCCACCAATGATGGCCAAGAGTCTCAAGAGGTAGCCGGCCCCAGCAAGCTTCTGTCTCTTTCCACCACCTTGTTTATTTCTCAAAGCCCACCTACATGTCTGGGTGAGGACAGGCTCCTGCCATCAGTCACCCAGAGCAGCGCTGCCTCAGTAACTCTTGGTGGTAACAGAGGCGTGGAACAGGGTGGGATGGCCACATCACTGGATGTTGTCTGGTTCCCCAAAGTGCTCCCCAATGGCAGTGATTCCATGGAGTGTTCATCTAGGATGCTGGGCAAAAATGTGAATCCTGGGGGCCAGGATGACGCTCAGTCAATAGAGTGTTCACTGTGCAAGCATGAGGACCTGAGTTCAAATCCCCAGCACCCATCTGGAAAGCCAGGCATAACAGAGAAGGCCTGTAACCCCAGCTCTGGGGAAGCAGAGACCAGAGGATTTCTGTTGGGCCTGCTGGGCAAGCTCCGGGTTCAGTGAGAGAACCTATTTCAAAAACTAAGGTGGAGGGAGATTGAGGAAGACACCCAGTGTCAACCTCTGGCCCACAGGCCCACATACATCCATGTATACTCGCACATACATGTGCACACACATGTACACATACACACACTAAGGAAAATGAGTCCTGTGTCATATCAGTGTTCCAGCTTGGTTACATGAGTGTCATCGCTGCGGGACTGCGCAGAGCCTTTGAAGCATATTTTGTGAATTTCCACACGGGGGGTGGGAGAGGGTTTCTGTTTAGACTTATTTGACCTCAAGACTATCTGGGCAGAGCCTACTGCATCTCTAACATTCCATCA